TTGATATTTAGGCAGTGGTAGTGATTTAGTTTTTAGGTGTGCTTGTTTCTGGTCATTTGTCTTATTAGAGTATTGTTAGTCAGGCACTATGCTGATTTCAGTTCCAAATAAAATGAAATGCAGATGATACCTGTTTTCCACTCTATGACCCCTTTATCTTTAAGAAAGAAAACGCTTATGTTTCTTTTTTTTCTGCAATTGTGCTTTTAGGAGCAGATAAACAGGATGTCCTACAATGAGAAGTCAGATATTTGGTCCCTGGGATGTTTGCTCTATGAACTTTGTGCATTGTCGTAAGTTATTCTACACAGTTATCAGGAACGGATTCCACAAGCAGTTTTACAGCAGATCATACTTCCTTTCTTCTGCTTGTTGTCCTTTTTAGGCCTCCATTCACTGCATATAACCAGAGAGAGTTGGCGGAGAAAATCAGAGATGGGAAGTTCAGAAGAATCCCTTACCGGTACTCTGAGGAACTGAACACCTTACTTGGCAAAATGCTCAACCTTAAGGTTGGAAACATTAGCTTATTTTTCCCTGAGCTTAACCTGTATTTATGCTCGTAAGGATCCCTGAATCATCCCCTCTGTCTGCAGGACTACCTGAGACCATCTGTGGAGTCCATCCTTCAGAGCGGTCTGTTAAGCGACAGTGTTGCTGAGGAGCAGAGGAAGATTCAGGCTCGGGCTCAGAGGAGGTCTGCAGACTCCGACAGTCCTGTTCACAAGTTGGCCGAAATGGGAACTGTCTGTGTGGCAGAGCTCAAGCTCAAAGAGCAGGCGCTGAAGGACCGAGAGCAGGCGCTGAAGGAACGAGAGGAAAGACTGGAGAGTAAGACCTCAGCATTTATGGTTCCAAACAGGCTGTGTTATGGATCTGATGGGTTACAGTGCCTCTAGGTTAGAAACCTTTATAGTCAAGTGGCTTAAAATAAGAAGAATCCCAGTTTTATACTCAACAAATATAAAGTGATAAATACAAAAAGGAGAGTCCCTACAAAGTCTGAAATGGTAGGGAGTGTATCTCCTGATATGGAGTATGAAAAAGGAATCTAGAAGGATCATGGCATTTCTCCACTCCGGACAATAAAGGCCAATTTATGCTTCTGATGCATAGCCTCTCCAACCTTCAAATCTGTCTCTGTGCTCAACCACCTCCCCCCCGCGGGTCCGCTGGACCTCTTCTTTTAATTTATTTGTGAGGATTTAACTTTTGGAAAATATATTTTTTTTTTTACCATTCCCCTTCTCGGGTTTCTATGGCTCAAATTGACATCAGTTCATTACTTTTTGTTCTTTGATGTGCACTCGTAACTGATAACTAGCTCACTGTGTAACACCACTAGCTGAAAACATTTATCCTGTTAAATTTTCATTGGTTGTTGTGAAACAAGCATGTTTCACAGGTTGAATGTAATTTATCTTTAAGTTAATCTCACCTGTGCGAGGAGATGATTGAAAGAAAAGCTACTTTTTTGAAAGCATTATTAGTGATTTTTCATTATGAAACTTTAGTGAAGAAAAAAAAATCTATTCTTCAGATTTAGCAGTAAAAAATGGAAATTAGATTTTTAAGCTAGATCACTTGGTGCTAACTATACCTGATTTATATATACATCTGTTTATTTTAGGATTTAGTCATGCTTTGTCATTGGATCTAGCTATTTCAGACATCTAAAGAGCCATCAAATGCCCCTTTATCATTTTACTGAATCAGGCCTTTGTATTGTTATGTGACAATTGGTGTAATATGCAGACAAGTAATTTAGATCATTCAAACATCAGGGTACAGTAATTATATATCCACATGTTTAGAGAACCATAAAGACTTGAGACTGTGTAATTTGAACCTAATGCACTTTTGCACCAACATTTTTTAAACTGGTTTTCATTTTCTCCAATACGGTTTACATGATGACCTAAGCTGCATCTTAAATTGTAATGTTGATTTCTCTTTTGTAAGCTGCTCATTTTACTGTTGGAAGCTTTTATTCAATGAAAATTTGTTTTGGATACACTCAGACAAACTTTGTCATTTTGTATACACTAAGTCTAAGTTTAGATTGGAAATAGAAAACACAAAAAGATCAGATCCAGAAATCCAATTAAAGGACAGCACTTGGAAGTCTTTTTTTTTTTTTTTTTTTTTTTTTTATGGAGTTCAATGTTTATTTAAATTAATATTTAAAATTAGAAAAATTGCACATTTTATTTTGAAAATTCAAAATAATTGAAGATTTCAGCAAAAAAAAAAATGCTTAAACCTGCTAGCCTTAGCCTGTTGGTCCAGATTTGGGGGGTTGTAGCCTGATAAATCAGACTAAATGCACGAAAAAATGATTTTGGCCGCTGGCGGTTGGGGCTAGTTTAATAGGCGAGGGGGGATGAGCATCTTCTTGTTAAAAAGTTCTGGAAAACATCTTTAACTTCAAATTCATTAATATTTGATTTAGGAAGTGTTCCGGTCTAAATGTCAAACTTTGCTTTTGGGGTAACTTTCAACGATACTAGAAAATAAATGTAGACGGCTTATTCATGTTGCCGTTAGCAAAGGTTTTGCAATCAAACTTTGAACTACTTCCACTCCCACATCTACAGACTGACTGACTGTATGCTGTTATGCATCCAGAAGAAATATGTTCACTATAGAAATGTTGGTTTAACGTCTCCTTCTGTCTTCTTGGATGGCAGGAAGGGAGCAGGAACTGTGTGTACGTGAGCGACTGACTACTGAAAAACTTGCACGGTAACACCCAGAAAAATCTGACATTAAAACTTATCTTGCTGTTACCATCAGCTTTGTAGTCTTCTCAGTTGACTTGTCCTTTTTTTTCTTTTTTTTCTTTTTTCTTTCTTCTGGAGCAGAGCAGAGAGTTTGCTGAGGAATTACAACTGGCTGCATCAGCAAAAGGAGGTGGCACTGGGCTATGGCAAAGACATAGGTATGGGAATCCAGCAAAGGGGTTTCCACTTACTACACCAAGCCCGACATTGAAACAGCTTTTTTTATATTTATTTATATTTTTTAATCATGAGTGCACATATTTATATCATGTTAATAAAGTTTTTATAGACAAACGGCATCTTAACTATAATAAATCTGCATTTTTGTCCATAATTCACACCTCAAATGTCTTGTTTTTGTGATTAAATAAAACGTTATTCTGATATTTCTGTGTTGGTCTCTTGCTTCCTTACTGTAGATTCGGAGGAACTGTCCCCTGGAAAGAAGAAGGTCCACTTTGCGGGTGAAAGCAAAGAGAACCAGCAGCCCGATGGCCAGCACGGTGGGCCGTACCAGGATTTAATGCTGCGGCGCCTGCACTCCGCTAACCTCCGGGCTCAAAAACTAAGCGAAGTGGAGAAAATCTGCCAGTTAAAAAGCAGACAGATCCTCGGCATCCGCTGAACATAAGAGAAACAGTCATATCAAAAAGAAAGTGAGGTTTTTAAAACTGGATGTAAATTTGATATTTCATAAGATGTGTGTGTGTATAGTATTTAAAGTTTTATCATACAACCTGTGGAGGTGTTTTGAAAATGGTAGGCAGCTATTGTGATTTTTTTAATGTTCTTGTATGTTTTTCCTTCATTTGTTTTCTTACACAGATTGTTTAACTATAAAAAAGGATTATTTTAAGAATAAACATGTCTGTGTTGATTATGAACCCAATTCATTTGCTTTAAGTGTTCAAAAAACAGAAATATATTTTTAGATTGCTGACTTTTAATAGGACAATGCTTCACAGCAGTCATTTGCATTAGAGACACCCTTTCATCAAGACTTAATAGTTTCCACAAGGGGTCATCGGTTTACTACAGAATAGGCAATCACAGCCAACAGAACAGATATGGCTTCCATTTAGGAGTTAATGCTTTGATTTAAGGATGAGATTAAAAAGGAGGTTTCTGTTAACACTAATCATCAGCACAATGAAATTATCAGATGGCCTTCATGTTCCCTAATTGTTTGACTAATCAAAAAATCATTTGGGAAATTTGCACATCTGAAACGGTCAATAGAATACATTTAAGGAAAACTCCAGTTTACAAATAATTTAAATCTTTATAGATGCTAAGTGTACACTTAATCAGCCTAGTATTGTTTGAAATAAAGGCTCAAAAGATTATAAAACATTTTGCATCCATTTCCTGTTGATAAAGCTGTATTTTTGGGGGGGTTGTTCCTTATAGCTTAAGTTTGGTAAATGTTTTTATAGGAAATGTGACTGTTGCTCAAAGAAATCATATCTTTTAATAAAATCTTTAACCAGAAAGTTAAAAACTTCATAACCTAAAACAAAACATTTTAGGAATTATATAAAAAGATAAAGTTATTAGAATTTAAACAGTTAGGGATGTTATTGAATTAGTTATTGATAATTATTTTATTTGTATCAATGAAAATCTTGTGTTTGTGTATTTTCTGCCTCTGGATGAGGTTATAATTATGTCCAAATGTATCTTACTACAAAATGTATTTATTAGAATACTTAGTATTATTAGAGACTTGGACTTAAACAGATTTATTTTGTATACAGGAGTATAAACAAAAAGAAATTTCGTTTAGAACAGCTCTGTATTTCATGTTTTTAGTGCAGCCTTGAAAAACAGTAATATAAACATGACTGTATAGTTACAGTTCTACATTACATTTTATTACAGAAATTATGTAAATTAAATTCTATTTAAGTGGCAGTACACATGCTTGATTTTTAAACTTTTTTTATACGTGTTTTCTAGAAGAATATTTTTGTTGTGTTTCAGCTCCACTGTTCAGAAATCCTTTGAAAAGAAACATAATTAATGATCGATACTACTGGCTTTTCTTAATCGTCCAACGTTGATATCGCGAGATTACAGTAACGATGAAGCGTGCCTAACTACCTCCGTTGTTGAGTTCATAAGCGCCTCCTTTAATATCGGTCGAAAAATTCAACCAATGGGCTTCCTCCTCCGGGTTCTCTCGTCCAATAGGAGTCTGACGTGGTCCGTGTGGAAAGTTTACCGGCTCGGGTGCAAAGTTTCAGCCGTCTGCAAAGCGGAGCTTGTCGGCAGATTTGTCTGGAATATGCTGGTGACGTCCGCAGGGTTTTCACACGGTTCCTAGAATCCAGTAACTCCCATGAAATCGGCACTCTGGATGTAGCTTCACCCGGAGGACACCGTGAAACATTATCTCTCCCTCTGAACTCGAATCGACGGAGGACAACCAGGAAACAAACATAACACAATGGCCTGTGAGCCAAACCGTGCCCGGCTGCTATGTATGCTCTCATTGACTTTCAGCTTCTTCATCGTAGAGGTGGTGGTGAGCCGCGTCACCTCTTCCCTATCGATGCTCTCGGACTCTTTTCACATGCTCTCGGATGTTATCGCGTTGGTCGTGGCTCTGGTCGCGGTGCGGTTCGCCGAGAAAACCCAATCGACCAAAAAGAACACCTTCGGATGGATCCGGGCGGAGGTGATGGGGGCTCTGGTCAACGCCGTTTTTCTCACGGCGCTGTGCTTCACCATCGTCCTGGAGGCCGTCGAGCGCTTCACCGACCCCCACGAGATCAAGACCCCGGTGGTGGTGGCCGGGGTGGGCGCCGCGGGGCTCCTTATCAACCTGCTGGGCCTCTGCCTCTTCCACGGACATGCCGGGGGAGGCCACGGGCATTCCCATGGGGGTAAGGGGAAGAGGGGGAAAGCTGAGAAGTTCCAGAAGGATGGCAATGGATCAGCGCTGGAGGAGACCAACAACCTGGTGGGGAATCACAACAGTCCGGGTGATGGGAGATCAAGAACCGGTGAGTTAAACTATTTGAGGATTATCAGTGAAATATATATATATATATTCATCCACCTCACTACAACTTAAGGGTGGACTGATCAGACTTTTTAAAAAGCCAACACCGATTCCGATTTTTATACATCAGAGTTGTCCTCCTATAGTCTTATGATTGAGGATGCTGTGGCATTTTGCCAACCATAAAAAGAAAAATCTTTGCTTTTCTGTCTCGGGAACATTTAGTTCCCATTATGATTAGATTTGAGCATTTCTCTGATAAACTATCTCAGTAATTCATCAAAAATACTTTGTACAGTAACATCAGCTGTTGGGAGTGGCTGAAGAAGTAAGCAGGTATTTTTGAAATTTTCTCTAAAGAAACGACCTGTTCAATCTAATCTGAGAGGACTATAGGGCTCTGGTAGATAAAACATTGGCCTTTCATGTCGTTACGCCCAGAAATGACTGAAGTCGCTCTAAAAAAGGCAGAACAGATGCATCTAGGTAATTAATCTGTGCTCCTTTAGGTCAAACTTGACAAATCTACACTCCTAGCTGCCCATATAAACTAAAAGAAGATTTGAATAACTTCAAAATTAAGATCAAAATAAAATCCACCATGCTTCAGCATGTGTGTCCTCTAATTCATATTTATTGAGTCACTCTATGTCACCACATTCTGTGATTTCAGGAAGTAAAGCCCCATATTTCAATGTCTTTAATTGTTCAAAACATCTGAAACTCATTCAGGAGAGATGTGTTTAAAGGGGCCAAACCGAGTAATGTCCCATAGCCTTCAAGTCAATTCTTGCTATGCAAATGAAAGTCATGTTGTTGGATTGGCTCACTAGAGTAAAACAGCAGGTTCTCTTTATTCGCTCTCTGAAGGGTTAATCCCATATACAGACCATTTCCTTTCTATACTGTTCAGGGTTCCAATAAATGACCAGTGTATCCCCTCCTCTATGCTCCCATTGCCATTACTGGGTCATACATCAGTGTAGCCCTTAAGTCGACAGTCCCAGACACGCCATTAGTTGTTGATGAATGACCCAACGTGCCCAGGATGAAAGGGAAGGGGGGGCACCATCCCTCAGGTGCCACTCCCTCCTATTTCCTAGGCTGCTAGTACTAGTACACATTTAAATCTGCTTCATGTCAGAGGTATTGTATTTGAGGTAAAACACGCGTTAAATCTAAACAGAGTGTTTCTGATCAGAATCAGACATACTTAATAATCCCAGAGGGAAGTGTATGGTGACAAACTTAGTCAAAAATCCACCAATGTTTAGCTGAAAGCGAAGGGGAAAAATGTGAAAAGAGGAAATATTGCTGATAGGGAGTTATTTTAAATAATTTAGCTTTTGTGTCAGGTTTGGTTGTGTAGGTTATCATTGTAGGAAAATGTAAAAAAAAAATGTTAGGCTTGACATATAATTATGCAGTTAAAACATTCTCAATATTTCTAAATACAGCTGGACAAGATGCACAGATGAACAAACGATTACATTTAATTTAAAGGCTGGAAGTTTTTTCTACCTTTAAAGTTTGTTTATGTAGAAGCTTTATTTATTTTGTTAGTTTAGTTTAATATAAGTATTTATATATAATATATAAGATAAGGTTAAAAATCCACATACAAATGCAATGATTTTCACAGTTCACATGTAGCTTGTAAATCAAAGTATATTTGTCGATCTTGTCTTGTTGGTGTGTATCTTGAACTGCCTGGTGAACTTTTGCATCCTTCAGGTCGGGTGTATTTTTTTATGTTGAGATTTTTTTTAGCTACATATAAAACAGAAGGAGGGGTGGAAAAAGATGATTTAATTATATTTCTTTTAAACAAAAAAGCAGCAGATAGGAAATATTAATCATTAGAGCTGCAATATTTTTTTCTATAAAAGTGATTTTGTATTATGTTTGACTCTTAAAAGAAAAAGAAAAAATTCAACACCAGCTCAGTTTTAGAATAGGCCACATTAATTGTTTCTGAAATAGTCAACCAACAAAATATTTTAATTGTTACCTGCAGTAATGCTTTGCAGATGCTAAAAAATGCAATTTGCTGAAAGATTAATAACCCACTTACAGCCGCAATAAAGACAAAACCTTACAAAATTTGTATTAATTTTTTTAACATTAACAAATGTAATTTGTGCCATCAAGTTTTCCCTCTATATATTTAGAGCATTTGTTAATTTAGTGATTTTAATCCAATAAGTGTGTTTTTTTTTTTTAGATCAATCAAGAAAATAGCCGATAGATTAATTTCTAACTTGATTAATATCTCTATTTTCGTAGTTACTCAGTAACTATAAAGCCAAATGGTCATGAGTTCTCAAGAACACAAAGGAGTACGCTGCTCAGACTGTCAGCCGTTGTAACCCTCCTACGGTTGGCTCTTAACAAACTGATGTCTCTTCTAGGTTGGTTGAAAAAGAGATTTTCTGCTAAATACCTAAAAATTGAGATCTCACACTGTTTTATTTTTTTCAAACCAGTTATGATTTTCTTTGTAAGTTTTATAAAAAACAAAGGTAGGTCGTTTTCTGCGCCCCAATCTTCAGAAAACCGTCCTGTAAAATCAGAAAATCCCGAGTGGTCAACTGCTTCTTTAAGCTATAGCAACGGATCACCAGAAAGGTTTCTGAACCGTAGCGGATTTAAAGCTTGCGTACATTGATCTAGTTTACCAGGTAATTCCTAGTTTCTGTCCGAGTCAACTCAAATGTTGTATCTACGTGTCAGAGTCCATTTCCCACTCAGCTGTTATGCAGCAGCAAACTGAGCTTGTCTCCTTGATCTTTTATCTCCAGATGTGAGCTGTAAAGACAACTCAGAGGTGCAGATGAACGGCAACACCCATTTCGATGAGCTGGAACATGACCATGACTCGTCGGCTCAGCTCAACATGCGTGGGGTGTTCCTGCACGTTCTGGGTGACGCTCTGGGTTCTGTCATCGTTGTGGTCAATGCCATCACTTTCACCTTCGTGTGGAATCCCTGCCAAGACGATACCTGCAAGGACGTCTGCTTCAACAGTCCTGGGACCGACCACCTGCACGTCAGTAACGCTACCAGTGTGTCAGGCCCCTGCTGGGTTCTGTACCTGGATCCCACGCTGTGCATCATCATGGTGTGCATCCTGCTCTACACCACCTACCCGCTGCTCAAAGAGTCTGCCCTCATCCTGCTGCAGACTGTACCCAAGCAAATAAACATCCACAGGCTCAACGAGCGGCTGCTGAGCCTGGAAGGCGTCCTGGCCATCCACGAGCTGCACATCTGGCAGCTGGCCGGGAGCCGAATCATCGCCACCGCGCACATCAAGTGCCACGACCCCACGTCCTACATGGACGTGGCCAAACGCATCAAGGACTTCTTCCACGACGAGGGCATCCACGCCACCACCATCCAGCCCGAGTTTGTCACCTTCAGCTCCGAGTCCCGGGACTCCCTGTGCGAGCTCTCCTGTCGGACTCAGTGCGCTCCCAAGCTGTGCTGCGGCTCCGCCGACAAACAGAAGGGCGACGTGGACTTGAAAACATCAGACGCCCCTTCGGCCCTGGAGGTCATCAGCGAGACTGCGGAGAAAGCTGCAGACGTAGAGGTGCAGCCTCAGACGGTGACCGACGCCCCGGTCGCCAGCGAGCTGGTGTCCTCTCTGTGAAACTACGAGGACCAAGGCGAATCGATGGGATGCTGGAAAACCACCACTTCAGGCTGAAGCATCGCTGTCATTTCCAGGAAGCTGTAATTGTTTGGACCCGTTATGGTTTTGGTTAGAAGTTAATTCTTAATCTTTCCGATGACTTTTTATTCCAGCCTATTGTTGAAGTTGAGCCACTCTCCTTTTATCATCTCCTGCTCAGGCAGCACGGTTGTGATAAGGTTTTTTTTTTCACGGGGCCTCATCTCCTCCGGGGCTGGAGCGACGTCTGCATGACTGTCCCTCTTTCCGGTGCCGTGTTGTGATATGTCGCTTCATCCTAATGGTGGGTTTTCTGTGCCAAAGTTTCTTACTGCAGGACCGAAGGGACAAACGGACCATTGGAGCACATCAGTGTGTTTTAGTTTATGGACCTCCTGGCAAAATGAGTCATTGATGTTTTGCGTAGGCTATAAGAAAATCTATTTTCTTATCCATTTTGGTTGCAAGTGGAATAGTATTATATTTCATAATAATTTAAGTATTTAAGTTATTAGAAATGATTTATCTCTCTGTAGATGCTGTTTATGAAATTTAGTTTGAATAACAAAGAAGGATATTTGAATTTCTTTGTCCTGGATTTTATTTGGGGGAGAAAAAAAAAAAAAGTGTTTTAGTGATATTTTTTCAAATGTGATGTTTTTATAAAGATCTTGTCGGACTGTCATCTGGCCTTGAATCCTTGCTGTCACTAGTTTGGTGTAGACACCTCTCACCTTGCCTTTAAAAAAACAACAAAACTGTTGTGTAGGACACTGTTTGTAGATGGTGTAAGGATTTCTTGCAGTGGTAAATTTGGATATTTATAAATTTGTATACAGTTTCATGCTGGTTGGAGTCTGTGAACAGGCATGGGCCGGCAGGATGTGAAAATATGGCGGTTTCCTAGTATTAAACAAAATCTACTACCTGATCTATTTTATTTTTACTGAAACGATTATTTCCAGCACAGTTTTACAGATGTAGCATTTTTGACATAAAGGTTTAACCATCTTTAATGTTTTCTGTTAATTAAAATTAAGCTTCTTTCAGCTAGTTTACTGCAGCAACAAGTGGGGGAAGGGGAGGCTAACGTGTTATCCTGTTCTCCCTACAGCTGAAGGCAACTACAGCACTTTGTCTTGTTGTTTTTTTCCCCCCATTTTTCCATTAAAAGGCTGTTTCTAACACTGGTATACTTTGAACCCGACCAGCCCATGCCTGGGTGTGAAGAAACAAGCACTGTTATCCAGCAGTGATTCGCTCTGTGCTGGAAAGCTTTCTGTTTGCTTTAAAGAAATCATGAATGTTTTCATCACCTCGTCACAAATCCATTCAGGGGGAGGATTTTTAAATTTCTTTAAATATATATTTCTTTATATATATATATATATATATATATATATATATATATATATATATATATATATATATAAATAAATAAAATATGACATTTCCAAGATGTTGTACTGTGTTTGCATGACCAAACTGAGACCTGTTGTTCGACATTTTCTGGCTCTTCTCTGAGCTGTTGTTGCTGCTCCCCGGCGTCTGCTGGGATCCTCCACTATAATCCTGACTCATCATATAGCTGGCTGGTCTGCTGTTAGCTGAAATAAAGTTCATATGGTGGCCTTGAAACTCGTATGACTCCCTCCTTTCAGTCAGCACAGATATAGTCTGGCTCTGATACATTTCAGATTTCCACTCCCTGTTAAACATGTATGCAATACAGAAATAATGTGCTGGGAAATGTACTTTTCTTCATTTCTAACCTGTCACTTTTGATCGGTCTTTTATGACTTGAGCTCTGTGTGCAAACTGGAAAGGAAGGTGTTTTTATTTCAAGCACATGTCTGCTGATGTTTTTGATATATATAATATATCTATATATTCACCTGTCGGATGTGTTATTGTGAAATAAAACAGCTGTTTGGCACAGCTGAAGAACTAAAAACCACTGTCTTTGTACTACTTTCTAACAGCTTCAGACACAGAAGGCTCCCATCAACTGTTTATATTCTTGTAAAATAAACTGAAAGAAAGGAAGATGTAAAGAAACACATGATGCCCAGCAATCAGCTCCAGGGTGAAGTAGCAGACTGACTGATACAGACTGCTGATGTATCTAAACTGTTCAAAACAACAAAAACAAAACACCCATTTAGAGAGATGAAATCACTACATATCACACCACACTTGAATGATTCAAAAGCCCCCAAAGAAACAAAAGTTTGTAAAATATAAAATTCAGTCCTGTGGCAAACATATTTTCATAAATTAGAACATGAATAAAATGTTCCTGCCCTTAAAATGCAAAGGCAAAGCTTACAGAGATAAATACTAATCTATCTCAGTGTTGTTTCTGTTACTCTTATCATTGGTTAAAGATAAAGTTTGTCTTAACAATTGGGAAATGAAAACATTTAAGAATTAGATTGAAGTATCATTGTTCTCTTATTGCCAAAGTAATCTGCAAAGGATTAGGGCAAAAGGGGTTAGCTTTTCATACAGTGCTGTAGCCCAACTTTTTAAATGCAAGTTTAGGTAAAGAAGAAAACTGGTAAAAGATACTGCTCTTCATTTAGGGTTATCTTTAAAGATCTCTTCATACAGATGATTAAAACCTAAAATTTTCAGTTTTCCCTAAAACTAAAGAATGCTGTCCTGTCTAACTTTAGCCCATATAAGAAACTACTGAAATATAGAGAAGGACTGGCTTCATACAAACAAGCTGTGGCTACTGTCGGGAACATTTCTGGATGTGGTGTGTCTTAAAGGGCTCTCTCCAGACACACGTGTGGAGCTCTTGAATCGTCCTTTCTTTATAATTTAATTTCAAGTTTTCATAGCGTTTGCACATTTCTGAAAGCAAATTGTTTCCTTTAACTAAACCTTCTAGCAGTTTACTTGGATATAACTCACTGAGAATGAACAAGCACTTCAGCAATGATCTTTAATGCTTACCTTCCTTGTGAAGGATATAAAGTCAGCAGTATTCTCCACATGGCTATTTTAGGGCAACATAATGAAATATTGTTTGTTTTTTTTATCTGTTGTTTACTTTAGCTGTAGGCAATCTTACAAATCACCCGAAAGAAACAGGTGGAATATTCTCAGTCTGAGCATAGTCAAACATTTGAGTTACTTTATTATTATTACATTATTATGATTATTATTATTTTTTTTTTTTAGATTTTTACAACACTTCTTGCATTTAAGTCTGTTATTCAGAGATAGTTTAGAGACATTAAACATTCAAATTTTTAAGTGATAAAATGCACTACTTTTAAAAAGTGCATTTTTGATCATTTGCATCTAAATGTAAAAAGTAAAAACCCAGCTGACCCCGCATCTGGAGGGTGTTGAATTATAAAAAAAAAAAAGAATATTATATATGTACTACTATTTTCATTAAAATTATATATAAAATTTATAAATATTAGCTTGGATCAGATGATTATATATTTGCCTTCGTATGCAGGAGATTCAAACTGATGTAAAATAGAGCATGCTTTTATTATCTTAAATAACTTAACTTTTATTATTTTAAAAATTAACAGTGCATTATGCAAAATAAAAATTACGTTTTAAAAACCCGGGCTTCCAAAACCATTTAGGAAAACCACAATAATATCCTAGATGAAATATTTGCCCTTAAAGCTGTCACTAATAACCCATTATATATATATATATAACTACTACATAATTGCATATAATTGGTTTAATTGCATAACTAAACATTTCGTTAAACATTTTTTTAATTTTTGTATAAGCAGACGATTTACTGTTTATATAAACACACAGTACTAAATAAATATGAAATGAACATAAAATGTGCTGAAAATGAAAAATGGGGTTAAAAAATAAAAGTCAGAAATAAGTGTGAAAAAATAAAACTCCATTATGAAATAAATTAATAACACAGATCAAAGATCAAACATGTTGCATTATCAATAGATATAATTTCTTTATTCATGTATTCATCTTCTTATTATTATTTATGTATTTAATTTGAATGAAACAACTCTCCTCTTAGGCCTAACCTGATTAACTGTGATATTTATGTAAGAAACAAATAAACAAATGTTAAAATTAAGGTTATTTGGTCTGTTTTATATCAATAGGTACAGCTGCAACTCTCCCCTTCTTGTATAGTTGTTTATATTTTATCTCAACAGTTTTCTTTTTAACAACTAAAGCTGGACACTCTTAAGTCCACCAGGAAATGTGTGGCTTATATCTTCTAAAGATATAAGCCACACAAACAGTAATAACAGCAGCAAAGCAGGTTGCGAAAAGCCATTCTGCATTACATAAGTCCATAATTGCAGCATTTTGACCGCTCCTCTTTTCTCTGTGGTCTGACAAAGCAGATTTCGTTGTAAGTTTAAGCCAGCGGAGGCATGCTGACTGTAAATTGGGGGCTGGAGGGGAAGTAGACACTTGTTGAAAGGGGGGCTTATATAAGAGGACTGAGGGCAACAAGTGCACAGATCTACCCAGCATTCCTCCGTGCAGCCGTGGTGCTTGCATTTCACTCCCTGTTCTCTTGTGGGTCCCCAGAAAATGACCTACACTTAAACTGGTGTTCTCCTTGACTTGTTCCTGTTACAGTTTACTCTATCTGACAACTCCCACCCTTATATACAGGTGCTGGTCATAAAATTAGAATATCATGAAAAAGTTGATTGATTTCAGTAATTCCATTTAAAAAGTGAAACTTGTATATTATATTCATACATTACATACAAACTCATATATTTCAGATGTTTATTTTGTTTAATTTTGATGATTACAAATGACAACAAATGAAAATCTCAAATTCATCATATCAGAAAATTAGAATATTACTGAAGACCAATAAAAACAAAGGATTTATAGAAATGTTGGCCAACTGAAAAGTATGAACATGAAAAGTATGAGCATGTACAGCACTCAGTATTTAGTTGGGCCTCCTTTGGCCTGTATTACTGCAGCAATGCGGCGTGGCATGGAGTCGATCAGTCTGTTGCACTGCTCAGGTGTTATGATAGCCCAGGTTGCTCTAATAGTGGCTTTTAGCTCTTCTGAATTGTTGGGTCTGGTGTATTGCATCTTCTTCTTCACAATACCCCATAGATTTTCTATGGGGTTAAGGTCAGGAGAGTTTGCTGGCCAATTAAGAACAGGGATACCATGGTCCTTCAACCAGGTACTGGTAGCTTTGGCACTGTGTGCAGGTGCCAAGTCCTGTTGGAAAATGAAATCTGCATCTCCAAAAAGTTGGTCAGCTGCAGGAAGCATGAAGTGCTCTAAAACTTCCTGGTATGTGGCTGCGTTGACCCTGGACCTCAGAAAACACAATGGACCAACACCAGCAGATGACATGGCACCCCAAACCATCACTGACTGTGGAAACTTTACACTGGACTTCAAGCAACGTGGATGAAGTGCCTCTCTTCTTTTCCTCCAGACTCTGGGACCTTGATTTCCAAAGGAAATGCAAAATTTACTTTCATCAGAGAACATGACTTTGGACCACTCACCAGCAGTCCAGTCCTGTTTCTCTTTAGCCCAGGCAAGACGCTTCTGACGCTGTCTGTGGTTCAAGAGTGGCTTGACACAAGGAATGCGACAGCAGAAACCCATGTCTTTCATACGTCTGTGTGTGGTGGTTCTTGAAGCACTCACTCCAGCTGCAGTCCACTCTTTGTGAATCTCCCCCACATTTTTGAAGGGGTTTTGTTTCACATTCCTCTCCAGGGTGCGGTTATCTCTCTTGCTTGTACACTTTTTTCGACCACATCTTTTCCTTCCCTTCGCCTCTCTATTAATGTGCTTGGACACTGAGCTCTGTGAACAGCCAGCCTCTTTAGCGATGACCTTTTGTGTCTTGCCCTCCTTGTGCAAGGTGTCGATGGTCGTCTTTTGGACAACTGTCAAGTCAGCAGTCTTCCCCATGATTGTGTAGCCTATAGAACTAGACTGAAAGACCATTTAAAGGCTTTTGCAGGTGGTTTGAGTTAATTAGCTGATTAGAGTGTGGCACCAGGGGCCATCAATTTTGAACCTTTTCACAATATTCTAATTTTCTGATATGATGAATTTGAGATTTTCATTTGTTGTCATTTGTAATCATCAAAATTAAACAAAATAAACATCTGAAATATATGAGTTTGTATGTAATGTATGAATATAATATACAAGTTTCACTTTTTAAATGGAATTACTGAAATCAATCAACTTTTTCATGATATTCTAATTTTATGACCAGCACCTGTACAGTAATTTCTATATTGTCTGAACAAGGATGCCTGACAAAGGAGGAAATTGGTGCCTATACATCTAGCTTATGCATTACTGTAACTGTGTGTGGGTGGGTGTGGTATGCCATCTGTCTCCTCAGCTTTGTCCATGGGATTTTGCTGGCTGGGTGAATCCGCTCAAGAGAGGAATGGGGTTAATGTGGCTGAACCTGTGGGTGAGGGGGTCACTCTGCTGCTATAGGTATTCACCTTTGCTAACACAACATTTGTTGCAACAGCAATAGGCTTAAAAAAAATGAGGGCCACAAAGAGGAACCCTGAGTGAATTTTGTCCAGCTTTTGCGACTCTTGCTATTTTTGGAAACGGTTCAATGTCTTTAGAAAATTAAAACATAAACTTTAATTGATCGTTTGTTTCTTAGCTTTTTTCCGATCTTAAAAAGCTGGTTTTGATTAGTTATTTAACATAAATATGTATATATATATATATATATATATATATATATATATATATATATATATATATATATATATATATATATATATATATATATATATATATATATATATATATATATATATATATATATATATATATATATATATATATATATATATAAATGTTTTTATACATATTTATAAATAAAAATGGCTTTATTTAGGAAGGACAAATGCCTCATGTAAAGAAATCCACATTTTAAATCTCCAC